TAATATTACTGTCATTTAAATATTTTAAAATCGTGGGCAAAAGAGCGTGAAAGTTTTTTTGGAAACCTTACGGGAATTCATTGAATAGAAAATCATGTTCTTCGCATAATTTTATAAGTTTACAATTTATGAGAATGGCCATCATTTGTCATGCTTCCCATTCATCTTATCAGCTTTCGAATTTTAAAATGAATTTTTTTCTTAAAAAAAAAACCAATACGAAAGATATTTGTTGAAATATTTTATTGGCTAGATTCATATTTTTTTGCATAAATTTTATGAAAACCAAGAAAATTTAAATTTTCTATCTGCTTTTCTCTTAGAAAATATTAAAAAAATACAATAAGAACTATATCGGCTACCTTCAGTGACTAAATGAGGAATTGAGATTCAACGCTTTTCTTAATCTGTTAAGTTCTATTGCATGACGAATAGATAGTAAAGAAAGAAAAATTGGTTTTTTTCAAAACTTCAAGATTTGTGGAAATTTTATTGACACTTAATCAAACTATGTTCATAAAGAAGTTACATAAACATATAAATTTAATAAACGAAATCTCAAGAGATTTTTTAGATGATTTAGCCAATTTCTTATTATTAATTACTGAATAAATGTTGTGCATTTTGAAAATTTTCTTCAATGATATAATATTTCTTCATTAATTATTGATATGATCAAGTTATATATTATCATTTGTTGTGCTTATCATTCACACTGCCAATGTCAGGAAAATAATAAAATGGATGAAGAAAAATATTTATCACATCGCTTATCCAACAAATTTGAATCTCTTATTTTTCGCAAAAAGATCCGAATTTTGTTTTTTTTTTTTTATTTCCACCAACTGATTAATGGGTTGTTGCTCTCATTTTGGACTGCCAATCGTGATATTCCATTCCTCATATGAGTAAACTCGTCTTTCAAAGATTTTGGCGACTTGAGCGCTGGTGATTCGCCTGTATATCTATCGCTGAACATTCACTGGTAAAATTTGATAAATTTTTGTTTGATGTTCAGCGTAGCGAGTGTAATTAGAAATGGTGAGAATTTAATAAAAAACAACAGGCATCATTTCTATTTTGGCTAGTTCCACTATTTAGTAAAACCTTGTCGCTAAAGGATGGAATCTGAAGGAAATGCTATTCTTCGTTGATTCTTCGAGTAACAAAGGCTAAATAATTGAGTGAAAGAGTAAATTGCGCATATGAACTTTTCAATTTTTTCGTTCAAGGGAAATCATATTATGAGCAATTTTTGTCCATAATTTTCTTTATTTTATTTTATTTTAGTTCAAAAAAAAGAACTTTTTAAAATTCTGAAAAAATCCAAAATCGTTTTTTTGAGGAAATTTTTTTAAAAATATTTCTGAAGGAATTTCTTAAAATTTTTTTCTTTTTTAAAATTTTTTTTTTTGAATTTGTATGCAATATTATTGCAAGCGAAATTCGATATTTACATAAGTGGTTAGCAGTTATAATTCCTATTCCTGAACTCGCTCGACTCGTTCCAGCGGTTAATATTTATAAAAATCCAGTTACTTTCTAAATTTTTGCTTCTCAGCTTTTTTATCGAGCGACCACCGTTGTTTCTATCATTAAATAGCTCTATAGAAAAAATTTACCTCCAACAAGCTGAAGCAGTGAATCCAACCACAAATGGTGAGTGATATTTACTTAATTTAAAGAATGGGCTTGTAGCACCATTTTGATTTTTAAAGCTAAGCTTAAACTTAAATTAAGGAATTATATTAAGAAAGACTATATCCGGCACTGAATATTATTTATTCATGGCTTACCACAGAAAAACTGAAATAATCTTATTCAGATGAATTTGATCTTCTCGGAGAGGTAGGGATAGGAAAATTCTTCTAAGATGATTCTCTAGGATGATTGAGGACTTATAAATTTGGTTAGTACTCATTGGTTCGTATTCATGATTAGTATGATCATAATTTTTGGTTAATCTCACTCCACTCTAACTAATCGGATAATTTTTGTCAGATAATAATGGGCCTGCAATACGATTCTAATTTTTAAATCTAAGCCCAAACTCAAATCATGTTGTTGATAATCTTTGTAAAATATTATTTTGCCGTAGTTGCTAACTTTTTAAATTTTCAATTACAAAAAAGATTTTATCAAACAAAATTGGAAAATACTGTTGATTTTCTGTAAATATTCACTAAATTTGTTTCGAATAAAAAACTAATTTATTAGAATAAATAAAAAAAAAACGATGATTTTATTAAAAAGTTATACGAATTAACGCTTTTTTTCGCTGGAAAAAATTCCAAGCACAACGATCATTAAACAAATGTCATTTATATGTTATTTGATACTATTAAAATTAGTTTTTAAATTTTTTTCAAACTTTTCTTATTAGTTATTTTTGAAAAAAACAATAAATCTTCTTCCTCTTCCCGCATAATTTTTATTTTTTCTTTGCCTTTAGCAAACTCATTTAATCTTGTTTATCCTATATTTCTAAAAAAGAGATTTAGAAATTTTTTTGAAAATTGAAAAAAGAAGGCAGTAAATTTTTTGCAAAATTAAAAATTATTTTTATTTGATCTTATTTATTCTATTGTTCATTTATACAAATTCGCGTAGGAAGACGACAAATTTCTCCTTAAATTTTAGAAATAGATAGCTGATTACATTATTGGAAAAAAAAGCCATTCAAAAAAAGATTTTTAGTTTTATTTGTTGGAAATATTTTTTAGGCATCATTTATCGAATGTGGTCTATGATTTGACTTGGCTTCACTAAATATTTGATCAATTATTTTTATTTTTCTAAAATTTCTTTTTCTTTTGTTTGCTAGGAATAAACTATTAAATGGGCAAAAAACAAATAAAATAATACAAAATAAATATAAATACAATACAATGCAAAAATACAAAATAAGCTTCACTTTTGTAATTTTTGCTTAATTCACTGAAAAAAACTATTCACGCTATTGAGAACGTTTTTTAGAAAATCGTAGTAAAATAAGGGTACAAGTCAATTCTTATTTCCAACAGAACTTCAATTTTGATAAATTGTTAGAGATTAACAGTTGAGCTCAAAAAATCACTGAAAAGCTTATCATCGGACTAGGCGAAATCTATGAATTTTTAGTGGTTTCTTCATTTTTTAAGATTTTGCATTCAATTGTTTATGTTTAATTATACTTTTAGAACAAAGTTTACTGATAAGAAAATTCTGATCGGTCGTTTTTCATTTATTTTTTTGCTAATTTTTTCTTCTCTCATAATTATTCTCCTTTTTTGTTGACAAAAAAAGCAAGTAAAACTAGAGAACCACCTATCACCATATGATTTTTTCAGCGAATAGTTCTCATCTTAAGGTCCAGTGGAGTCCACAAATGGTAGACGCTAGTACAAGAAGAAAAAAAGCTAATCATTAACCAAAAAGGCATCGCATTTGCAAGTATAGTTCTACTAAAATTTAAGACTTCCGAAAATTTGTTCTACTAAGAATTAAAAATTTCAAGGAGTTATTTGATTTTAATTTTTACTTCTAAATAATCGCCATAAAATCAGTTAAACGATCTGGTAATTGATTTCATGTAAGCATAAGTATTTAAAAAGAAAAAGTAATTCTCTTATTCTATCTGAAGCAATTTTTCTAAATTTTTTTAAAAGTATGGTACTTATGGACTTCGCCATCATTAATGTTGTCATTCATCATCAGTTCTTATCATTTGTTTTTTGCTTTGTCCGAAGGTGTGTTCATTCTTCAAATGATTAACTAAACGAATGAATTGTTTTTCATTTTTATGAAAAAAATACTTTTAATTTATTGCTTTACATCAGCAATTTGTGAATTAATGCCAATTATTATGGCAACAAAAAGCGACTAATCATAGTGATATGATAACAAGAATAGTCAAAATTATTGTAAAATTAATGGTAATTATTAATTATTTTGTTGTTATTAACGATTAGTTTGTTGCTTAAATTATCATTCATATTGAGAGTGAGAATTTCCGATTTGGCCTCCGAAAAAAGAAAAGCTGGCATCAAAAAATTTGGATGTTGCTATTGATTCCCTTGTGGTTCTGTTGTCAAGCGACTTTTTGACAAAAATTTTTCTCCGTACTAAGAGCCAAAAATGATGAACGCCAATCAATTTTTTAACGATAATTACATGCATGATTGCTAGCATGCTTATCCTTTTTCTTAATAAATTATAATCACGGAGCAAATTTTTTCCATATCAGATGAATTGATTGTATCCATCTTCGCTCAAATACCATCTGTATTAATAATATTATCACAAAGCGTCATCTTCGCTGGTTAAGGCACTTCTCCGTCGTCCACCACAGAAATTGACGCACATTTCGTTACTTGCTAAACCATGTGATGGTTGGCCAATCAAGACTGACACAGTCCAGAAAGATTTTGAACATATAGGGGAACCAGTGGTGTCGGACCGAGTGGCTTGGAGACCCTTGCTCTTACCCTTTTAGCTAGTAGAGGTAGCCTAACCAGTAAATTGGGAAAAATTTCTGCTTATTATTTTATATATTATTTCTGCTTATTAAAATGAAAACATGGTGAAATTGCGAGAAATATTTATTTCTGCGAATATTTCTCTTTTTCGTTTAGTTATTTTTGAAAAAACTTAGCCTTAAAATTTATTTATATAAATAAATAATGTGAAAAAAGGAAATATTTCTAATTGGTTGACAATCTTTAAAAAAAATTTTTTTTCTTCCCAAAATTGAATTACTTTTTATCCTTTTCGTTGTTAATAAAAACAAAACTATTGGTCAATTCTAATCGTTATAATTATTCATAAAATACAAAATACATAATAGGTTCACAATGGTTTGGAAAATTAATAATGAAATTATCAGATATCAGCTGCGATTCAACTGAATTTGAATTTTGAATTGATCATAAAGAGAAATTAGTTATTAATTAGAAAAAACTCTGAATTTTATGAATAATATAATTATTTATGTTGAACCTCGTTAGAGATTTAGAAAATTAATGAGGTTATCAGATAATATTATGGTGATGAGCGAAAATCCTATTTTACGGGGATTTTTTTTTTCTGTGCATTTCATTAGTCTATTCCACGCTGTGGTTTGATTAAGTTGCAGAATAGAGCCGCAGGAAATAAATTTTATAATAGCCAAGTGTTAGCCAGTCGAATAAAATTCCTCGATATGGTAGCTTCTTGCCTTTTGACTAATTATTTAGTTTCCTCGTAAATTAATTTAATAAATAAGCCAAGTTTTAGGCCAAAAATAATAGCAATAGAATAGTGAATTAATAATAAAGAATTAATAAATTATGTAATATAATTAATCTCTTATTTGATTAGCTTTGTTCAATCCTAAATAAATTCTAAGAAAAATTATTTTTATGAAAATTTTCTCATTTTTTTTCGTTTTATTTTTTTGTAGAAAAGTTTGTGTACATTGTAAATGTGAACGCACTGATCACGATGTTGGCCAATCGAGAAGTTTGAGTGTTTATGAAAGACTTGGAATCGAACCGCCAGGTAAATAAATTTTTTACTAATTTACTAATTTAATTCTCGTTAATTCTTCAAATTTAAGTGGTAATATTTGGTTTTATATGGGAAAATCATGGAGGAATATCGGATTTTTTAATGTTCTTAGTCGCCACTTTGCTATTTTTTTGCTATTATCCTCGAGCGATTTTCATGAAACACTTATTAGTTTGAATTGATTAACCGATTGAAAAAATCGTATTATCATCATTTTAAATATAGAATCAATCATATATTTTCATATTTTATGATTAATCTTATTATTTTTTTTTTTTTTAATCTTTATAATAGTTTCAATATCATTTTTTAGATTTTGTTTTCCTTTTCCTTTCGATTAACTCTTACGATATATATTTTTTCACCAGTTTATTCTTCGTTCTTCAATTTTAAAATTTCGATAAAATCTCTGGAAAAAAGCATGGATTCATGGATTTGAAGAGACGATTCATGAACATTTATATATACCACTAAAACCACTAAAAACCATTTAGATTTCACTTGTCATTTTTTTTGAATTGGGTAGTCGTCTCAAAAATTTTTTTTCTATTTTTACCATAGGCGAGTTATTCAGTTTTCAACATAATTTTTCTTATATTTCTTATATTTCGCGCTTTTCGCCAATCTCAACTTGGATTTTCAGCATCTTTTATTCAAAGAAAATTTTTTATTGTTCTTATTGTTACTTTTTTGCTTTGCTTTCAAGAAGCCATTCTTGGCTAAATTCTTTTCTTTATTTCATCATTTTCTATTAATAATATGTATCCATATGTATCCACGATACATTCGCAGCCTATATCCATCTATTTGTAATCTGCAAAATAAGAATCTCAAAAGTAACGAGCCGTTTATAGTTGAATTAAGTCACAAAGCTTATAGCTGAACAAATTCAGTAGTTTTCTTTTTTTTTAACTGAAATTGTGTTTAAATTTATAATTTATTGCAGCTGTTAACAATTTTTGATAATTGTTGATAAGAGGGATCTTAGACTAAAATTTGGATTTTATTTAAAAAGACTGAATTGCTTAAAAATAATGAAATAATAAATATCTATTATTAAAATTAATTCTAACGATATGCCACAATTCATCAAAAGCTTGCTTGCTTATCCGTCAAAAACCCTATAATTATATAGGAGAATAGTGTAAAAAAAAAAAAAAAATGAATTTCTTATTGCTTTTTAAAAATAGATATTTAATATTTTATTGGCTAAAGCGAGATGAAGAGAACGCAGAATCTACTTGCTGTATTTATATACGAATTCTAAAATATATTTTGTAGTATCAAAGATTATCCATCCATCAGAGCTCTTCAATTCGTTTCTTGTAATTTGCCAGAAAATTCGTTTTTTCTTTTTATGCAAAATTTTGAAAAAAACGATAATAGAAGTAAATTTTTTAAAAAATTTAATTATGCAGAATATTTCATTTCATTTAAGAAAAGTTTCATAGTTAAATTTTAAAAAATTCGATTTAAATTTTCAAAAATTACGCATTTTATCAAATTTATTTTTTTCCATATACATTGCTTCGTAAATTATAATTTAAATGGAATTGGCTACTGAAGTTGACTATTGAATTCTCATAAAATTAATGAGTTCTATATAAACAATAAAATTTATTTTATTTATTTTAGCATCAATGGCAAAACTCAGTGGTTCTATAGGTCGTAGTAATGATGCGCCTGGAAGCGTTGGTCACGGGTATTCATGGGTGCCACCAGGTTTATCGAGAAGAAAGGTTTTGTTCATTTTTTTTCTCTTAATAATAATAAAAAAAAACTTGGATATCGAAATATCTAAAGAATATTTATGCCATTTTTTGAATATTTTAGATAAATATTTTTAGTTTCCTATTGCGAAATTGTTCAGAACATTGATACGTTCTTTTTATTGCATCGCTAAAGATTAGGATTTTATAACAAAATATTTTATCAGCTTACGACTTTTATCATTTATATTATCATTAGCTAATGATATAAAAGTGGCATTAATAATAGATTTCTTTGGCTAATAAATAAAAAAAATAAAAAGAAATAGGAGAAGAAGTAATCCTATGAGTAAAAATTGCAGAACTTCGATATATATATATATATATATATATATACATATATATACATTTATTCGAACATTTTATCACTATCTTTAATCATTATCAATAAGGCGATAAAATTCACAGTGAAATTATTTCAAACTTTCAATTCTATTTATATGCAACAAATAAACATTAAATATGCCGCCTTCTAGCAACTTTACTTGATAAATTTGTAAAATATGTCGTTAATGACAGCCAATTTTTAGTAAATGTTTTCATATTATTCATTTTTCCTTAAATCTCCCAAAAGATATGAAATGTAATGTTTGCATTAAATTCGTCGCTAACAAACAAATATAATAAATTGCAACGAATGAAATTTAATGACTTTCTCGTAACACTGTAGATTATTACTTATTTTTTCTGTTTTTTTTTATGGAATAATATTGTTTTAATTCGATAATGAACTAAAATTATTGCGAAAATAAAATTTTTCTCCTAAATAATTCATCCAAATTTGATTTAATCGAAGTTCAGTAGAGGAAGAAAAAAGCTAACGGAATAATTAAATTTTTCAAATATTCGCATTCATTGAAAGATTATTTGATAAATTTGCTAAATTATTTGATAAATTATGCAAAAAATAAAACTTTACATGATAATTTTAAGAAAATATTATTTTAAATCTTTTCTTTATTCTTATTTTATGGCGTAATTTAAGTGAGTAAAATTTTCTATGTCAAACCAGTTCTTTAATTAAAATGATGTTCAATGGAAGTTTCTTTTAGTGAATTTCTTTTATAGTCTTATAAATTTGATTTATTATTACGATAAAAATTTTCTTCATATATTTATGTCAAATTTAAAAAGAATTCACAATTATAGATCGAGGAATATATGGCGCAATTACCGAATAACGTAGTTCCACGAATAAATAGTATAGGCGAGAAATATCGCGAGAAACAACTTATGATTCAGGTTCTTGTAATATCTTTGAGGAAGAAAAATTTCTTATGTTGGCATTCCAGAAAGTAAAATTTTTCAAAATCTAAAGTGCTTTGTAGTAGATGATTCTTTTGACTCAAATGCTGAAATGCAAACATGCAAAATTATATCATTTTATTTTCCATTTTGCAAAATTTGAATGTATATATATATATATTCTAGTGGAATGAAAATGGAAAATTTTCAGTTGCCTAGACAAGATTTATCGGTGGCTTATTGTAAGCATTTATTGAATAGCGTCGAAAGGAAAGTATTCGAGGAATTCATTAACGCTCGTAATGAGATCGCTCTTGATATTGGTTTCGTTTGTCCGAATATACACATGCAAATGGTTGGTACTTCTTTTATCAGTTTCACAATTAATAAATCTTTCATTTCTAATTTTTTACGATCTTTTTTGATGCAATCAAATTGAGATTTTTTTTTTTTTAAACAACAATTTTGTTGTCATTTAATTGTTTATTATTGCACTAAATGAATTTTTAAATTGAATTTTCAATTTATAGGAATGTAGAAAATGCAGTGGAATACTTGAAAAAAATGAAATGGCTGTTATGGCTCCAAAACTTGGGGATCAATGTGGATGGCATCCGGCATGCTTCACATGCAATACGTGTGAGCAGGTATATGGCATAAAACTTTCACGTTTCATATTGAATTAGGTAGACAACCAATATAATAAAAAAAAGAAAGGCTAAATTCACGTGTAAAATTAAATTCAACAAATCCATAATATAGGACCATAAATAATTGGTGACCTATCGACGCTAACCTTTGACTTCACTTAATTATTATTTGCTCGTTCTTTTAATAATAGTAGATTGGTGGAAATTCATGAATATTAGCAGAAAATATGATTTATTTGGAATAAATTTTTTGAATTATCTTAATCTTATATAAATAATAATTTATGAATTATGGAAAATTTATTCTACAGATTTATTTTTTTAGAGCAATGGCTCATTAAATAATTTTTGTTTAAAACAGAAATATTTTCAATTCAATTCATGCTTAGCAAAGCATCTCATGCGAATATTTCAAAAAATTCAATCAAATTGTATTCATCCATCTCTATGAAAGAACTAAATGCATGAACTGATTTTAAACTGATTTTTATCACTGATAATTATTAGTAAATGCAAAATTTTAATTTTCTATGAAATTTTAATTTAATTTTTAATTTTAATTTTTAAATTTTAATTTTAATAAATTTTTTATATAAAAAATCAAAACTTTTTATATAAAAATTTTTCCATTTAGTTTAATGAATTTTCTTATATCTCCATCCGTTTACTCTTTCATTATTGTTGATTATTGCTTATATATTTTCTTGAGAATCGTATTTAAGCAAATTGAAAATCTATCATGATTATTATCATTATTAAGCTTTTTCATGATATCCTTTAATTTTTACAGTTACTTATCGATTTAACCTATTGCGTAAAAGATGGATTATTGTACTGTGAACGACATTACGCTGAATTACATAAACCACGTTGTAATTCATGTGATGAGGTTGATTTCTTCAAATTATTTACTTTACTTTATTATTTTTTATTGGTTTTTTTTCTTTTTTTAAAATTGTCATCCATGCATTTATTGGCTTTCTACCGTAAAAATTGCTAAATTAGCGTTGCGAAGTGGACGAAATAAGTAATGCTTAAAAGAAATGAAGCATACTTTTGTTTTCGATTTGGGAGAGATTTTAGGAGAGATTTATTGAAATTCAAATCGCACTTTAACTAATGCTAATATTTTATTTTTACGAAGTGTAAGAAATTTTTATTGAAATACCTTAGCTCTCGTTTAGTGTTTAATAATTTTATTTCTTTTTTCAAAAGATTTTTTCACAATTTAAAAAAAATTATTTATATTATAAATAATAATAATAAATAATAATAATAAAAAATCTTATAAGGTTAATTCTTAATTCTTTTTTTAGAGATAACTTTTTCATTAACCTTTAAAATATCGAATGAAAATCACAGTTCAATTCACAATTCACAATTTTTTATAATGAATAATGCTTTTAAGGATAAGTACCACTATTAGATGACGATGAGAGATTTTCTGGATTCACTAGGATAACGTCAAGCAGTCGAATATTCCGAATTACATAGAAATTTAGAGAAATATTTTATTTATTTGATTTAAAGTTCAAGTTTAAGATTTAGAGGTTAGCAGTAGCATAAAATAAAATTTTTAGCATTATTTCTTTAAGTGCCATTCAATTATCAACGGAAATAACAATTCACAATTTTTTATAATGAATAATGCTTTAAAGGATAAGTACCACTGCTAGATGACAGTGAGAAACTCTCGTCTGAATTTTTTTTCAACTTTCAAGATCTTTTAAGCAATTCGTTTATTTTTATTGATATATTATTGTTCAAGTGGTACTTGGTAATCCTTTTTGCTGCAATAATCCGTCTAAAATTATTCATCAAAATTTTTTCATTAATTATTTTTTTATTATTAAATTCTCAACTATTTTTTTCTTTTTTTGTCTAATTCCAACATTAAGTTCCTGTCCTATGGCGTAGTCATTGTCATAAATTGATCAGTAAAATTATTTTTCGATTTTTTTGGAAATCATTTTTTGATATATTTCTTTAAAATTAAGGATGATTTAGGATGATTTTTTCTATCGCGTATATTGAAAAATATATAAATCTTAAATAAATCTTTTTGCTATCAATTTTCTTTCGTTTCAATATTCGTTTCTTTTCACCTGAAATGCAATGCAAAATATTTGAGTTGCCTAGAAAAGACTTTGAATAAGGAACATTCTATGATATCAGGTCTAGGATTTGGCTTTATTGTTCACTTTTTGGTCAATTTTCAAGGTAAAGTAAACTTTCAAAGTAAGTATATCATTATTTGTCTGGAGGATTCATCCTCTAATAATTTGCATTATTGCTGGTCTAGCCGATTTTGCGGACAATTTAAGTAAAGCCTAATCTGACGCTATGCCTGGAATTAACTTAGATTCACTTTTAGCCAATTATTTTATCGCTGAATCGTCTACGAAATTTCTCCTAACCATGACTGTCGAATTTTTGATTAAATTTCCTCATTTCTGAGCCCATTCACCATAAAATTTTAGCAGTTGTGGAAATATGTATGAATTTTTATAAGCGATGAGAAATGAGAAATACCTAAATATGGCTTAGTCAACGTAGATGACTTTCACTAATAATATCATACATGTGGTACTGGCAATGAGATTTAATTTACATGAAGAATATATGTAGCTTGTACTTGAGGTAGGTAAGCATTAATGGTGTAGGCAGCTAGCTGCAGCAAATTAGATGATTTTTAAGTGCATTTCCGTTTTTTTTTTAGTTTATTTTTGCAATCATTTTATGAAATATTTTGAAATTACTTTATTTCTTTCCTCCGATAGTTTATATACGAGGAAAATTTACTAAATTGTGATAAATTCATTTCGATTTTATTTAGAAGTCAATGCAAATATTTTGCATCTTTACTGGAGCAGTTGCAATGCGGCTTTCATGCAGCAACTGTCGAAATTCTTTTCTTTGTCGTCCGGAAAGATTTTTAGGAGCATTTTCAGTGATTTTCAATTTATCCAACTTCTATAAGTAGTTGAAACGATCTCAAGTACCAATGTCAATAATTTTGTTTAGAATTTACAATTATTTCTTGATCTTAAGTTGACAATCATTGCCAACTTCATTCACCTTTTGCCCTTTAATAAATTTTTTTGTGATTCTTAAATGAACATTATTCAATTCGGAAGGGAGGAGGGGGGGGGGATAGAGGGGCTATGAAATAGCAAATAAGATTTCTTGTAAAAATTTCAAACTTCACTATTATTATTTATTATTATTACTGTTACTATTGTTTATTATTTTATTATTATTTTCATTATTATTATCAATTATTATTATTATTATCAATATAGATTAACATTGATGGCTTACCTCGCAAATAAAATTTTTTAAAATTTTTAATTAAAAATTTTTAAATCTTTAAAATTTTTTTGCTAATCACCAATGCGTTTTTTGTATCATCGAACACAGTGTAGATCGTATGAAACAATTATTTCAAAATAATTCAAAACACCTTGTTAACTAAAACCTTCATAGATAGTTTCATTAATTTTTCAGCAAAATTATTTATTGTTTATTTTTTCATTATTTATTATTTATGACAAATGAAAATCACTGATAATCACTTTTGATGAAAATTATCATTTGTTATCATTATTACTGAAAATCTATGGAAGCTAAAATTTTAAGACTTGTAATATTACGATGACAATCGTTTTGCGTTTCGCTAAAGTTTGTTAAAAACTTACGTTTGAAACGCTAATATCTTGAATATTCAATATGACATTTCAAAAGATAACGTTGATCTTTCTCATACTATTAATAAATTCTGCCTTAAATCCCTTAAATTGAGTAACAACTTGTTTCATTATTCTAAAAAAAAAGTCAGATAATGCTAAAGCCTAGCTAAGCTTGCGTGTATGCTGAAAAACAAATAATCTCATTCCTTAAGGCATTGATGAGATATCCATTATCCATATAATATTTAGATAGCTGGAAAAATGTTTGCACATGCCATCCAAAATCTCGGTTTCGCTTAATAATTCGTATCACTTTCACGAAGCATGAAGCATGGAAATCCATATCAGCTAAACTTTTTAAAATTATCATGCCGTCAGAATTTTTATTATTGATTTTATCAATATTATGTTTTTGACTTTATCGACAAATGAAATAAACATCATCACTAAAATATATTTATTATTCATTTAATCGTTTTTCCTTTTCGAATATTTTGACTGCTTAAGGTATCGTATTTATTATTCCACATAAGCTTAGCGAAGCACACTTTGATATATGCCTAAAATTAAAGTTCAGAGAATTTCTTCATATTCTCCTTACGCCATTATTGGTTTAGCTTATATTCCACTAGCTATATGGGCAGTGTTTTGGGCAAAGCCTCTTGAACCCAAAATTTTTCAACATATACATTTTTATATTTGTATTACTTTTATATTTATCTATTCAAAAATTATTAAATTAAGGCTTTTTGCCTAAAATTTAATCTTATTTTAGCCTAATTTTTTTTCGTATAAATTCTTCAGAAAATATAAAAAATTAATATAAATTACCATATTTATTTATGGTTCTTTTAAAAAATTTTCTCGAACATTTCGAGCCATTTTAAATTGTTTTAAAAAGCAATTATGAAGTAAACCTATTACCTTTTCAAATATGAATTACTGAAGCTTTTACTTGATGCTGGTATTATGTTTACCGAGTAAATATTAGTGCAGTCCAAGAGAATTAATATTTCAACTATTGATAATATTAATTTCTTTTGTCTTTTAAAAGATTCGATTTGATGAAGCTTGTTGATCTAATGAATTTTATCCAAAAAGTTGTTTAACGGCATGGCATCAATTTATATTTATTCCACAGCAAAATATAAATAAGTCAATAAATAAATAAAATTGTAATATTTTTAATATCATATCAAAATTCTTTCTTTATCATTCTTTATCATTATTGAAATTTTATATATTCAATTTCAACTTTTATTAATTTATTAATTTATTTTTTATAAAAGCATTTACTATTTTTGATTTGGTAAACTTTAATGACTGAAGAATGGTCTTTAAACCAGACAGCCATTTGGAAGTGGGAATGCTAATAACATTGCCATTAGGCCTTCAGCCTCACCATCTGGATTTTATTATCAAATGAATTTTAACTAAGCGAAATAATTTATATTATCTTAAAATAAAAATATATTCAATTTCAACATTTTATAATTTATATCGCATCTACTTTTGCTCAAATACCACTTCCATTAACATAGAGCGTCGCCTTTGCTGATTAGTACATGTTCTTTATTGCACACCACATGAATTGATACTATTCGTTGCATGCTATGTGATAGATAGGGTCAAAAGCGAGATGGGCCAGTCAAGACCTGGTTTTTAGTTTTGAATATATAGGTGGATATATGGACTTAGACGATGGAAAAAGGAATGGCTTCTATTACTAGCGATGGCATCGGATGGAGGAGCTTGGCGAAGTCTTACCCTTGTAGCTAGTGGAGTCAGCCTAACTAATAATGGTGAAAACTGTTAGAAGAAGAAGAAAACAAAAAGTTAAGCATCTGCCATGTAGTTAAGATTCAGATTCAGATTAAGATTTAATCTATATCAACTTCTAACTACTTCCGATTTATCAAAAACCAGTTGTGTGCTGAATGCATATTGCCCAAAATGATTATTTCAAGCATCGTCTTCAATCCTTATTTTTGAGACTATTAGAATAAAACTGACATCTTAAAAATTCTGAATGTTACTTAAAATTAATTAAGAGACTTCTATTCGTAAAAATGACTCTTTAACTTTAATAAAATTGTCTTGTCCTACTAATTGTTGTTGAGCGAAAAGCCAATCCAACTCAAAATATTTTCAATTTTGCAATTTCTGAGATCTACTTTTTTTATATATACGAAATTTTATACATGGAACTTTTCGAATTAACTGAATTTTATGAAGTTAAGTCGGTAGAAATTTAATTGAATTTTTCGAATTATTTAATTACCGCGTAATTTAGCATATTTTTCAGCAAATAACAATACACATCCAATTTTTTTTAATGAAAATAAAAAATTTTCAGTTTTTTGCGAAACTATTTGTTAAATTCACTTCTGTACGTCAGGTCGAGAATTTTTCCATGATTTTAACTAATATCAGAAGGAATAAACGAAAAAAAGAAATTGCTTAGATTCGTCCAATAAAAAATTCCTTCATTGTGATTCTTAATTATAGTGTAGTTTAAATGCTAAAATATTTAAAATGAAATCTGAGAAATGATTGTTAGTGCTGATCGTGCTTGATGAATGACATTGCTCCTTACGACGCTATCATTTTTTAATAAATCATTTTCATTTTTA